AAAATATTAAAAACTGCATTCAAGCATTTTTAATACTGTTCTGAATCATACATTAGGAATGTTCATAAGTTGACAGCATTGAATATATTTCAAAGGTATATAGACAAAATTCATAATTATGTACAGGAATCAGGTATAAATTAGTGATTGTTATATCCATAACAGGATATTGAGGTGGAATAAATTCTAAAATTTGTTATGTCACTCTTGAACCCTTTGGATAGATATAATAGGAAGAAAAAAAGAAGAAACACCCACTTAATATTAAAAAAGTTCTAATAAAAGCAAAATCTGAAACCTACATTTAATGAAAACAAACTTAAGAATACAATTTTTAAAATGCAATTGGTATTTACAAAGATGGGAAAAGTAAATATTATTTGTAAAACGTAAGGTTAATTTTCTCAACATAATTTGAGAAAGAATATTTGATAACTGTTCATATATTTCTCATATTATCAAAATTTCTTTTAAATCAAATGAAATTTAAAATACAGGATGATTATTTCAAGAATTAATAAATTCAATCATGAAGCTTTAAATTCTCTGCAGGAAAATAAAAAAATTTTAAAAAATATTCTTTCTTTTAAAAGTTCATCACATCTTTTCTGTGGTTGCTGGTAAAAATAAATGCTAGATACTGTATTTGCTTTTTTTTATTGTAAAAGCGAAAATTCTGTTGGCACTCTTTTTTTTCCAAAAAAGCAACTATATTAAGATGCAGGTATTTCTGTAAAAGCAAAAGGCATAATGTGAATGTACATGAAGCAGAAGATGCTTATGCACCCATTTACAGAAAATCGATACATATGCATTTCAATTCAACATTTATAACTCTTGCTTGTATGTGTAAATAACAATGTGCACAAATTTACAGAAAGTGTATGCATATGCATTTCATTCAAGATCTATAACGCTTGCTTGTATGTGTAAATAACAAAATCCCATAAGCTTTCAGTTCATGTCTGCTTTAACAGATTAAAGCAGACATGAACTGAAAGCTTATCAAACATTCATCCTTTTTTTCAAGTCTTAAATTAAGAGTAACATTGGAATGAAAAAATTCATGTAGCATTTATTTTTACCAGCAAGTTAATTATCCTTTTTTTATTGCAAATTCTATTTCATGGTTTACCATTCAATTTGCTGTTCATGTATTCGTTTAAATTAATATTCAAAGTTCATCTGGATTTAAAATATGTGAAATAAAATTTTGTAATTCATGCATTAGTTTGCCACCATAATTTTTTTTTTTTGGTTGTTGTTGTTGTTGTTAGAATTTGATTCTAAAATCAGCAAGAGAGCAGTAAAAAAAGGTATAGTCAAAAGTCGTTAATCCGGACTCGTCGGGACTTCGGCGATTCCGGATTATCGATTTTTCTGGATTATAGATCATCAGTTTAAATCTTGTAAGATGGCATGCAGAAATTCTAAAATTAAAAATATGAAACCGTAATTTATGAAATAAAGAACAATTATGATCTAAAGGGTATCAAAATTTACAAAAAAAGGGGGGGCTAAATATTTATTTGTTTACTTTATTAAACATTTCTTTCAATGTAAGTTGTTTAAGTTGCTTAGTTTTATGTGCTAATACTTTCTCTTTAATTCTATATAAACAGACATAATTTCTTGTTCAGTTACAAAGTTCCGCTGTTCAAGTCCTGTAATTGCTGTGCCGAGAATACCGACTAACTTGTCAATCGAAATTTTTTCGTTTTCACTAACCTGTCTGTCACATTCTTCATGTCTTTATCCCTTTTTTGCAGCAATTCCACTTTTTGTTTGTTGGACATCGAAACATACTTTCGTTTTGTAGATCCTTTGGAAGTTCCAGCATCGGAAATTCTATTTGACATAATCGAAAGTTCAAGTTTACTTTTATAAAATTGCTCTTACAGTCTGCAAAAAATAATCAGCAGGATCCAATTCGAAGATCAAGGAACAACGCTATCATTAACATTAACTGAAATAGATAATTAGATAATTTTAGCTTACACCATCCGTTATACATTAAACGCGCAGGCGGAAACGTATTCTGCACTTGCGCACACGCATATGCGCAGTAGTCAAGGTCTTACGCGCACGCGTAAAACACCTGTGCACATGTGCCAACGCAGCGCATGCGCAGAAAGTTTTTAGCTTTGAGGTCCGGATTATGGGTGTCCGAATTAACGACTCTTGACTGTACTAATTATATGATGCTTCTCATCTTTCAGCTATTAGCATCAGCCCCTGAAGTATGTATAATACATGCATGTCCGTTATCTGGATTAATACATTTTCAGAGAGTAATAGAAAAATAAATAATAATCTCTAACCCATACAAAATTCCAGTTAGTTCTATTTTTATGCATGCTTTTGCCCATTTCTTTAACCCTCTGAGTGCCATGGCCGACTTTATCCGGTCATAAGATTTTTTGTTACTTGGCATATACTAGCTTATAATTTAAGATACTTTGCTTTCTTACTTTCATTAATTATATAAATGTCATCTTGTTGAATGTAAGTTTATGAAAACAGAGACTAAAATAGGTAAATATACAAATGTAGCTTATATAGGCTGTTTAGATATAGGTCATCATGACAGATACAAAGGCCCAGGCTGCTCAGAGGATTAAATTATTTCCTGCTATATTTCTTACCCCATTTTCCCCCTCCCCTAAATTTATATAAAGATTTCTTGGTAAAAGTATATTTTAGGGTACCCCTTGGTGAAACTTGGCAATTTTTTGGCATTATATGGATACTGAGTTTGTGGAATTCTTTGGCTTATTATTTTGGCTTGCATAACGCTGCTACACAAAGCCAAAATAACAAGACAAAGAATTGCACAAACTCGGTATCCATGCACACATCGACCTATTTTCACTTTAAAAAGAAATTCCTGGAATTGCACAAAAATGGCATTGCGCACTCCCTTGACTTTATCCATGTACACATCGATATATGTTCACTTAAGAAGTCAAAGGAGCACCTAATTCTACAATACAGGCAAATAAAAAATACATAATCTCAATAGACTGCATTTTAAACCAAACAATAAAATAACAAAAGGAAATATGTTATACATTTAACCACTACAAAAAGCAAATATCCACTTACCCTATTTAGTAGTTCTTTCGTCTTTAGTCTGTGACATGCAAAATTCCTTAACAGCATCCAAAAACTTCCTAAAATTATCTGAATATCCGTATATCAGCATCACCACATCTGAACCTTTCTTCCTACAAACCCATTCAAATCCATCTAAATGGTTTTTACATTCAACTAGATGCATATCTTTCCTACATGCAGGACACTTATAATTGCTACTAAGTAAACCTTCATTTACACACCAGTCAATTAACGCTCTTTTCCCCTTTCATTCCAAATCGTACAGAAACTTGAAATTAATCTTACTACATTCAGCCATTCTACTGTCTAAACAATAAAAACCCACACCCACCACAAAAGCACTTACAAAACATCCCATGATTCAAAATTTCCCAGAATCATGCACCCGATTACATCACAATAGGGTTTCCATAACATTCAACTACTCAGGCTACCATAAATAAAACAACAACTTGGCGATAAATTAAACAACTTTGCCATAATACAAGGGGTACCTTAAAGTCTACTCTATCCGATTTCTCTTTTGAACTTGAAAAAAGTATTTGAGTTACAGTTCACACATTTTGCATGTTACTAAAATCCTTTTAAATTAAATGAAATTTAGAGGAGTGTTATTTCAAGAATTAATAAACTCTAAACATGGAATTCTACACACTCTCCAGAAAATGAATTTAAAAAAAAACCTTGTTTATCATAAAAGTATCGTTCGTTAAAGGAATTTTTTCTTAGATTGTTAATTAGCATGAACTGGCCACAAATGTAACTCTGCCAGACATACCTGGGATTTGTATCATTTCTTCTGTAATTGTGTCACTGTCATGCTTTCATTCTGTTAGGTGAATGAGCATGTGAAATTAAGTGTTTTAAGTAACTGCTCAAGTAAGTTCCTTTTGAATAGTCAGATCAATAAAACTAATATTTCCTAATTCCTATTTAATATTTTATCAATAAAACTATTATTTAAATAAGTTTTGAATTAAAACATTTAGCGTGTTTCAAATAAGAATTCAAAGGATGAAAAAAAAGCATAATTGAATTTTGAGTCTTTTTCAAGGTTTGCAGGATTCAAATGTTCTATTCCTATTATTTATATGTGATAAATTTATTATCTTCAGTGAATAAATATTAGCATTCTTTGAGTTTAATCTCATATATTTATGAACTTCTGTCACAGATGGGAAAGGGACCATCAATAAGGTTATGTCAGCAGATAATTGCCATAAGGCTCAGAGGGGTGAGTAAAAATATTTTGTTTTGACAGGCATTCATTCATTTTGGGGAAAAAATTATAGACTTCTATGTGAGAAATGGCAGATTTTCTACTGTGACCTGCCACACACTTTTTCGAAATGCAACAGTGTGAGAAAGGGGCGCGTGATTTTGAAATGTCATCACTTTCTGTCAGAGCAGGAAGATGATAATTTTAGGAAACCTTTCATAGTGCTTTACATTATGATTGTATAGCTGAGAAATTGCTCAATAGTGTAACATATTATATCTTGGGTATCACATAAGACATTTTATATCACTTTGAGATTTCATAGGTTATAACAGTAATTTGTTTTCATTGAGAAGATATTGGATGTAAAATTGCTATTTGTGTTGTGTTCTGAGTGAGTATTTTGTCTGTTATATCCAGCTCTTATAAAATATGTTATTTGTGTTGTGCTGTGAATGAGTATTTTCTCTCTTTTATCTAGCTTTTATAAATCAGTGAAAATGTTGATGTTTTGGGGGAGAATAATTATAAAAGATCCCTTTTTTTATAATGCTGTATAGAATTGCTTCTGATTGCTGAAAATAAGTATAAAATGCCTTCTTTTGAGAGATACTTATTAGGAGTTAATATGTTTAATTTTTCTTATTATTATTTCTTTTGTTAGATTGTTCTGCACAATACCAACACAAAGACTATCGCTTTGCCACAACTTGAAGTAGCAGAGTGTAATATGCATCAGCATTTCTGATAATCAGAGTTGGTTCTAGCTTGTCTACGCAAAATGGCTTACTGTGATTGGGGAATACATATATGTGTTGTTTTCTTTTGTAAATAGACTTTCTTTGCCTCAAGACTGAAAGGAACAGATTTTACAATATACTTTATGTCAAGGTTATGGCTTTTGGTGCATCAGTTGAAGAGCAAGTGGCAAAACTGCCAATCCTTTTTCAAATTTAGAATTTTGAGTGACTGTACTTTGATATTTTTAAAATTTTGAATATATGTAAGTTTCAAAAGGATACCTAAGGGAACACTGAAGTTAAAAGTATTTTTATAAATCTGAGGAAAATTCCTATCAAAATTAGATTACAAACTTTTTTCTTTAAAAAAAAATATTGAATATTTTTTGAGTATTTCTGATAGGTATTTAAAAATAAAAGTCTTTGACAGTGTAGATTTATTTATCAAAGTCAAATAAAGGATTGGAAGGTTTGTTATTTCACCATATTGTTTTTCATGATAATATGCATTCAATTAAGAAATACAGAAGTTTCTTATGCTCTGAAAATTGTATAATTTCATCTCAGTGTTTTTTAACTTTTGTTTTGCAGTCACTAAAAGTCTTTTATATTGTTTATAAGAGAATTTTCATATAAACACTGTCTTATTGCATTTTTGACTTTTCTTTGTATAACTGAGCTTATGTTGCAACTTTAAATTGTGCTTTTCTAAGGTTTTTTTATAAAATCTGTATGATCTCGGTAATAATATCACCCTATAGTAAAAGATAAATTCATTTTTTAAATTTGTGAGTTTTGTTATTGTGTGTTTGTGCAAATCATATCTGCTGATAGAGATTTACGAAGTTCTGAATTTATGTTCATGTTTATGTTATAAAAAATGACATTTAAATGTATGGATGTGTATATGTGTGTGTGTGTGTGTGTATTTAATGAAAACAAATCATAAGAAAACATTTTAAAGATGTCCTGAAATATGTGAAAGTTGCTATATTTCTAGGTTTAAGAAGGAAGTGCAAACCTAAAAATGAACATCTGATGAGGGCTATATGCCCAAGTTTCATTCCAGTTTTGATCATGGGGCCCTGTGGAAGGAAGTCCCAAGTTCTTGTATTTCTTTTCTCATGCACTAAGCTAATGATAAGCAAAGTATATATTTTTGAAAGGAACATATTTCCAAGACATTTAGACAAAAGCAAGAAAGTAAACCAGTGTATTAATTCTTGACTGGTTATCAAAAAGTATTCATATAAATAGGTATTTTCAAATCTGTTTGCTAATGGTGAATTATTTAAAGTAGATTTTATTGATTTAATTATATTACATAATCTGTTTTTTCTTAATTAAGTATTAAGTATTCATATTCAATATAAAAAATAGTAGAACTGTTCTGTTATTATTCATTGCTTTAATCTATTGGCTTTCTTTTTAAACTCATTGCATAACAGTCATCAATTTATAGAAATAGCATCAAGAGTAATGCAGCTTTAAATTCTTCTACCATGAATAAATTCTGAGCTGTACCTTTCTTTTTTGGATTCAGCGTTCAAATTGCCACATGTAGTAGTACAGCTTCTGCTGCAAATGACTGCAGTAGTCATAAAATTGGACCAAGTTCCAATGAAACTACAGTAAATAATAAATGTCATGTTTACTTGTGCTAATTTTTATGTTGAATTTCTTCCCTTCTTTACCACTGCACTTAACAAAATTACATTCCTCATAGTAATCTTAATATTTTATGTTTAGTTTCTGGTGTGGCACTAGTTAGTTATATTAAAAAGTAAATCCGTTCCTAGCAGTATTTTAGGGTAGGTTGTGTCTTCTCGTTAAAAGATCTCTGTAATACTTTTATATCATTTTATTATTTACAATCATACCTTTTGCATTTGTAGTTGAAACAGTCATTCTTGTAGACACTTCATTTCAGAATACTGTATACTTCTTTCTTTTTCATAATTCATTCTTCCCTTTTCATAAGCAGGATCATCTATCTATCTCTGAAAGTGAAAATCAGTAATTTTCCCATAGCATCTTATGCTAGTAGTAGGTAGAGGGAAGGGTATAAATAACAAATGATATAATTTCAAACACAATAATATTGGAAATGATTGATCAAATCCAAATCAAAACCAAACTATCACACACACATACACACATACATATACATAAGGTTTGAAGAGCAGAAATGTTAAAATGATAATAATAGTTGTATGATTATGTAAGTGAATATTTTGGCTCTTGATTGCATGTTCTGCAAGTTTTATTTAGCTGCAAGTTTCATCATAAGCCTGAAAAATATTGTTTAGTCTCTGATCGTTTAAATTTCTACTTTAAATAATAAATAGTAAACATTTTTAAGCTCATTAAATTTATGTTGCCTGAAATTTTAATTCTGTTTCTTTCAGTTGCCCTGAGAAACAGTATCATTGTTAACAGTATGTTTGTATTTATTACGAGTGTAAAGAATGTCAAGTACAGTCATTGCCTGTACTTAAAAACTTCAATGGTGTGGCAGCTTTAATAAAAATTTATCACCCCTCTATTTTTAAGTGACGCAGCAGAAAAAGAGCTAAAGCTAACTAACTATGTAATTTTTGACTTTGGTGCTTTAATATTTACGTATAGTTTCAATATGCTATTGACTGGTTTCAACCACTGTCTTTACTATATATATATATATAATTAACTAAACAGCAAACAGTATATGTCAGTTCATATTTTATTTCACAGTAGATGCTGAAAATATTTACAGCTTGTTAAATTTTGTGCCGTTGATGAGCAATGAGTAGAATTAATTGCTTTGACTTTTTGAGTGATCTGGTTTGAAATGAAATGTAACATAAAAGTAAATATAGCCTATGGAAATAAAGTCTGATTTGATTCTGAAGAATAATCTAATTTTGATAGACTTCCTGTCTTTAAAGTTGGAATTAAAATACTGCTATGTGATTTATGTGAATTTGTGTTTCTCAGAGGCAAAAATATTAACTTAAATTTTTTTACTAAAGTTTGATATTCATTAAAAATTCTCTTTTCCCATTGATGAGCATCAATTTAAACTGGTCACAAACTGACCCAAATATATTTGTATGCATATTTATTTAGTATTAATAATGAGAAATGTGAATAAATAGTTATATAGTGTGATTGTTTAGCAGTATAAACATGGGCTAGAAAATATTGCTGAATAGTAAAGTAAATAATGAAACTGTTTGTGACACCATCACCTGTTTTTGTCATAACTGATGTTTATTTGAAAGCATATAAACAAACAATATCAATTGCTTCTTAAAATTTTTTTTCATAATAGTAAAAGTTTAAAATATGCACCAGAAAATTAACAGGCTATAATATTTATTAGTTTATATGTATGTTTCATGGATTAATTTCTCTATTTTTAAGACGAAAGGTAAAATTTTGAAAACTGTTTTTTTAATTTGCCGTGTATTTTAAATGTTTGAAAAAGTAAAATTTTAAAATATTTTAACATTTTAATAATGGGAACATTATCAACTTCTTAACTAAAATAATTTATAGTTTTGTTGTTTGACATTCCATGATTTATTTTCCTTCATATTCAGTTTATTATGTTTATTTTTACTATCTCTAATTCACAAATTTATTCTTTCTAAATTTAAATGTTAAATTAAAATGGCTAATAAAAATGAACAGCTATTAATAATTACGTGTAACTAATAATATGAGTTAGGATATCTATTAGTATTCCTGTTAACAAAATGTTAATAGTAGCAAGTACCAGATAAAACAATGCATGTAAATGAAGTGATCTTTTAAATTTGTATAATTAAGTGCATGCATTTTTTAATTTAATTAAATCATGATTTATTTGACCGAAATCTCATTTGAAGTCTTTATTCTAAGCATTTAATTAGCAGATTATGCTTATTGAAGTTTATCCATCTTAAAAATGTTCATAAATAAATTGTGCTCATAAAATGGGGTAAGAGTGTGAATTGTAATAGTTAAACGTTACTTTTAAAAAAATTTGCAAACAGGAATATTAAGTATTTTTAGAATGTGCATGTAATACTTGTATAATTTGGTTCCCCCTTAACTGTGCCTATCAATCTTTGGAACAGGGAGTAAATTATAAGGATAGAGATGTGATTGTAAAGTAAATATTTTTAGTGAAAAATTTGTACAGATATGTTAAAATTGAAATTTGTTGAATTTGCCTGGATGATGAATGTATAAAAAAGGAATGTATACTTGTATCTCTACCTATTTAAATATACATATATATAATTAAATATATATATATATATATATATATATACGCATATATAAATAAGCATACATATATCTATAAGAGTGTTGTCAAATTTATTTTAATTCCTAAAGCATTTCTTTTTGATCATTAATTTTGGGCATGTCCATTCAAATATAGTGCCTTTTTTGAAAAATTCATGTTTTATCAACATATTAAACTTTTCAACCAACATTCAAATTTATAAGCATTACATCATTGCTAACAAGTTTTTTTTTTGTTCTTTGTAATGGTTCATTCAAATGTGTTCGTATAATGTAAACTGTTTAAAACTGAATATTTCAGTATCTGTTTCTGTTGTTGTTTCGGATGTACTTGATTAGAGGTTTTTTCAGATTCAAAGCTGTGAGCTCGCTGTATATTTGTTTATTGTTCTGAAATACTGTCTGCTGCGTATTTGTATGTGTAGTTCTCATTTAGAAGTTTTGCAGCTCAAAAATTGGATTTATCCTGTTCCTAAAAGTTTACTAATATATATATATATACGAATGCTGTGTGCCAGCATTTACTTTTTCTATGGACAAAAGAGGCAGCCCAATAAGACTGAAAAATTGCTCAGAGCATAGAAAATAATTTTAGTCATTGCATAATTAAATGACTTGTGTGTGATATGTAAAATGTTTCATCATAGTCTGTCTACATGTTCCATTGAAAGTTAAATGTTATATGAGCAGCTTTTAAATTTTTAGTATGTATATTGTGTTTTGTTGATTATATTATAACAGTATTTTTCACTCTGTTGACTCTCATTCAAAAATGCCAAGGACATGCGGCAACACATTCTTATGCACATAGGAACATTAAAAAGAACATCTTTGCAGAAGAAATGTTATGTGCAATTTCATTTATGATAGAGAACCATTGTGCATTATTTTTCAAAAATTCTTTATATTGCATACATAAATCAAACACAAGATTTTAGTTTGAATGAAAATATTATTTTAAAAACACAACTTGAAGTTAAAATATATTTCAAGTAGTATATGCTTTTCTTTTAACTGTCTGGAGGTAATCAGGATAACAAATATTGTAACTCCTAATATCTCTGAATTCTCAGGGTGAAATAATGTGCAATTTAAATTTATCAGAAAGGGGAAAACCACTATTCTTTTCCATATTCCTTTGGGCAGTAGATTTACCTACCTCAAAAATAGTTTATTGCATAAAATGCATTATAATAATAAAAAATACAGGTATAAAAATGAAAAATGTGAATGTCAGTTGAAAGGTTATTTAACTGATAATTGGAGTAAGTTGCTAAGAATGTTGAGTAAATGAGTTACTTGAATTAGGGCCTTTTGTATCGTCCTTTACTGGCTTTAATATTTAAATTATACTTTTATAAGAGTTTTCTTAAGTTTATTTAAAAGATATTGACTGTCTATCCTTTAATAAAAAATTTCAGCAGAACAATAACTAGCAGTATATTTGGCAGTTGTATTTAAAATATTTTTCTTAAGTTAAAAATCTGTTACATCCATTCATATATTGTATATTTTGCACATTATTAATTCTTATTCTTGAATTGCCTGTGTGTACAAAAGCCCTACATTATTTTTAAGTATATGTTAGGTTGAATTCCATATTTAATCCCATTCAATTTTTATAACTGTTATCAACTACACAACTTAAATTGTCTGTTCTTTCAGATAATTTTTAATAATTGTATAGAGCACAGCATAAACAAATGATAGATGAAATATTTACCAATTAAGATGCATTGTTTATGTAACTTTATTTACAGCAGTAAAAGAATTGGTAAAATTTTGTTTCAAGTAATTTAGTTTTTTTTTTTTTTTTTTTTTTTTTTTTTTTTTATTGTCAAGGTCTCATGCAAATTTGAGTCAAATGTTGTTCTAGTTCCTGTCAGCTATTATTGTAAAAATATGAATTTATCAGCATTTTTATATAAACAATAATTTAAGACAATTGAATTCAGGATATCAAGAGTTTTTTGTATTGAGTTTTTACTCTCTGAAAGAGTAGTGAAACATTTTTCAGAATGCAAATTTTATCACATTATAGTTTTTTATTATATAGAGATTATAATAGACTTATGTTTGCATCTTCATTTTGGTAAGGCAAGGAAATCTTAGTGAAATGCTTTGTCTTCTTTATAATTTTGATTTGTATAAAAAAAAAGTTTGGATAATTTCGATAAAATATTTTTAATCTAAAATTTAAACTAATGTAACAGTACTACTTCTTTGAAGAATAACTGTAGAAAGTTGTATTCATATATGTAAAGTATAGATCATATTAAATCAAATACATTGATTATTTTATTCTTGTTAACCCTGAATGTTGTGCTCTTAAAAACAGAAAAAAAATATAACAAATTCAATTAGAAGACATTTTTACAAACCCAAAGCT